GCTTGCAGGTTAAAGCAAATAAATGTCATTGCACCTACCGAGTCTTGTCTCGTTTCTCTCCGTTCTATAAAACTACAACAATTTTCTTACTTGCGGCAAAGTGGCGCTTGTTTTCTTTCCGTTCAAATTTCTCTTACGCGAGGGGTAACAATCCTATGCAATGAGCGAAAAAACTAAAGATCGCCTGCGTAGCCTTCATCATATCGTTTTTGTGTCCCGTGCGGCTGATCTGGGCTCTAGCTCTCGTTTAGGTCCGCACAACCTACTGTCGGACAGCTCAATGTTCGCCTTGACCTTTATGGAGATCAGTATGAACTGTCAATCTCAAAAGAAGATGAAAGGAATAGCCTTTAATCTTAATGTAATCCCTCGCAAGTTATTTTTAGACAAGGTACCCAGTCCTCCCGCGGATAATGGTACCACGCCCGTTACGGAGATGTTTTCTTTGAGGGTGGGAACGGTCTAAAAATAACTATAATAGCCTATAATAGGTATTAAGGGGCACCGTCCGCGTAGGAGAGATATGGGCTGTTTGAGAACGCATCTGTGGAAACAAAACATACAGAAAATAATATAAACTTGATATACATCGACACAACCCGGGAGGCTGACAAAAGGGTTCTAATTTTAATCCTCAGACACAATGCCTCGTTCCAAAAACTTGTTATGGAGAGAACAGGACATGGTTGCTGCAGTTCAAAGTGTTAGAAGTGGGAAACTTTCAATTCGTAAAGCAGCGGCCGAATATAATGTCCCAAAATCTAGCCTTGGCAATCGTGTTAATGGGAGGGTAGAACATGGAAAAAAGAATGGCCCTGAAACACTTCTCGACCCTGCTGAGGAGGCCGAGCTAGCAGCCTTTTATCTTACGCTTGTCAGTAAACATGGATATGCAAAGAGAAAGGACATTGTAATGCGCCTGGCCACCCATATGGCGGAAAAACGAGGAAAAGAGGTGAAAAAGGGATGTGTGTCGGAGAAGTGGTGGCAAAATTTCCTGAAACGCCATCCAGAAGTTTCGAAGCGTGCTTCCCAGAACGAAACGGTGGACACTGCAAGAGTCCAAGCCTGAATTACAGTCACCAGTCAGTGCTCCATCAAGTCCTGTCATCGCATCGTCTCATACCAGGACTTATCCAGGGTCACTGTTCTCAGTTTCCGGGAAGTTGCCCGTTCAGCAACATAACTGATGCCTTGGTGTCTGTCGAAGAGCGAATTGAGAGGGAGCAAAAGAAAAGGTCTCGCCGTGGGCTTGAAAATGAAACACCTGACGAAGTTTACAATAATTTCAAGGTGTTGTTGACGCAGACAGGCAGGCAAGAAGCCGTGTGTCCTCGTAAACTAGCTTTGTCTTGCTCCTTCCTGTAAGGGTTCAGGTTACTGTAGCTGTCTGGGTCGTGGAATGGGTGCAAAGGAAAGTTTCCAACCGTCAATAGCAGGAACTGATTCCCCAGAATTCTCAGGCCCTAGCCGCACGTGATTTCTACACCCTCTGGAACCGAGATGTCCACCTTTGCGACATAATGCTGCAACTAATGCAAGGACACTTGAAGGAAAAATAAGAAATAAGGAAAAAAAAAAGACTTGTGAAAGGAGAAAAAAATAAACGAATGCGTAGACAAACAAGAGCCAGAGTGAGAGGGTGTTACTTGGATGAGGTGCCCGGATATTCCTGTGCGAAGTGCGGTGGACAGTAGGATTCAGACAGGAGTTCATAAATGGAGTATGGTTATTGCGATGACTGGTACTACTTCAAGTGTACGAACCTGCTTGTACTAGACGGCCTTGGCGACCGTGTCGATCATTTTTTTTCTCATCAACATTAAGTGACAGTTTGACTTTGTTGTTTTTTCATGAGATCTCCGAGGACTGATTTTCTTTTTTAACAGCTTATTGGCTTTAATACAGTTGTTTAAATTTACCAGTGTATCTGAGAAACTGACCAAGAACTGACTGCCAATGTAAGAGCGTAAATTCGTAGTTTTGTCGCGTTTTCTCTAAGAAGACAACGAAATGCTTATCTCTTTGCTAGCAACAATAAAAGTTGATGAATTCAAGAGAACTACACGCATCGAGTTTCGTACGTTTGAAGGATTGAATCAGTTGTGAGAATTTACAAGTTTATCAGAAAACTTTATCTTGCACGTTTTTTAGTCACCAATTTTAAGACGGAAGAAAAAGAAACAATCACTCCCCCATTGAGTTTCTATAGAGTTGAAGAAATAGGGCTTGTAGTGCGCACAATCTACAGGTTGTTTTTACCATTTACCGTTTGTCGAAGGCCAGTTTGTACATTTAGACTGAAGTTGATTTCGGAAGATTACGTAAAGCCGCCATATGGGATTTTAAGGTCTTCCAGTAGTCGTTGTTCAAACACTGAAGACAAAGTTGTTAGTTTATCCGTAACAGAATTTACGTTAAACGTCAAAATAGGTCCTTTCTGTATATCAGTTATAGTAAAACGCGGGGTATAGTATTGAATATATAGAGAAAATATTTTGCACAAGAATTGATTATTGCAAGTAAATTCTGCGTTCTGCTGCCGTTATCGTGCATAATTTACTTACTGACAAACCCTTTTATACCCCTAAATGTGCCAGATCACAAAAGAAAAACTTCACGCAATGATTACAAAAATGCTGTTGTACCTCTGGTTTTGAACGCGGTGCGCGTGGAGTTCTGGGCCTGTTGCACGCGCAAATTTAGACACATTTCGCATTTCGCGACCTGACCTAACAGAGCCCAAAAATAAAATCAGAACAAGAAATATACTGCCAATCGAGGTTATTTTGGTGAGCTGGTGATCAATGGTTTGAAGTGTCCGACAATAGGTACGAATACCTTATTGTAGCGATATGAGTTCATGATCGACGTCCTTAGTTTCTCCCTCACGTGCCTGGTTGTTACTAAGTCCTCGAATAATTGGAGTCAATTTGTATATAGCAAGATGCCTTCAATATGAAAAGTCATTTTCTAATGACGAAAGATGTAAACAGCGACATGGAGATCCCCCCCTATTGAAGAATTTACCATTTCCATCCCGTCCCTATTACAGTCAGCAAGTTTGCCCAAACTTACGAATCTTAACTTGATGAAGACTGCAAGTTTAAGTTAACAAGTTACCCGAGTTTTTTTTAATAACTGTTGTTTCGTTTGTTTTGCAGTACTTAACCAGCTTGAGGAGCTCCTATCTGACATGAAGTCGGACGTCAATCGGCTCCCTTCGGCTCTTGTCCGAATGCCGCCCGTTACAGCTCGGCTTAACATGTCCGAGAGGGGAATCCTGAGTCGTCTTACCAAACGTGAAGGTCCACCACCCAACGTTACGATATCTGGAAACTTAATCCAGCCTGCCCCCATCCCAGCGGTGGGTTCAGTTCCTATCCAACCAAAGGTCCAACCCCTGGTGCTGTCTGGAGGAACCGTCCTACCACCTGCTCCTAACATCAAGCCAAGACCTTCCTACCGCTTCAATGTACCCCCAGTATACTACCAACCCCCCATGCCAAGCAGTACTGCGACCATCACAGTTCGGCCTCCCCCTCCCACTACTCTGCTGCTTCCCGCGTCTACCGCAACACCCAGTCTGGTGAAGCCAGGGCTGGTACAGTCTGTGCCGAAAGCAAGCTCTCCGCTGATCAGTCATCAGGTGAATTCGCCTACACCAACACAGTACGTCACCACACTACTTACCAAACCAGTCATGACCCCCGTGACGACCTCAGTGCCCCACCCAGGGGCGGGACCTGTAAGTTCCACACCCTTGACTCCTGTCATTAACAGCGTCTATAGCCTGAGCACAGGCAAGACTGGTACCGAGGCTCAGCGCAGCGCTACTCCTCCCTCTTCTGCCATGCAGAGTGGCATTGGTAAGATGCTGAGTAAGAAGGCAACTACTCTGGTGGAAAACCAGATCACCTCTATTATACGCAGAGAGGCCTCAGCTATGGGATTAATCAGGCCCGATGCCTCTTCCAATCCCAGCTCGCCTTCCTCAACAGACACGCGCGTTTCCTCGCCTGGACAGAGTCAAGCCACGAATCAGGATCCACAAGTGGAACCTGATCAAACACAAACTGCCAAGACTGGAGACAAAAACGACAAAGATCCTGACGTGATTTGTTTGGACTAGAATGAAGAGCACTGCTTTATCAATACTCAGGAATGTACTCTTTTTTTTTCTCGTGATATGGCAATGCCACTTTATGTCTAAGAACGTTGGACTTTGTCACGTTTGGTCGATCTTTTAAATCATTTATATTTTTGCCTTGATTTGTTTTGAATGAAGAGTCTTTTAACACCCGTGAACAAGATGTAAAAATGGCTCATGACAAATGATTAATATACATGCTGCTGCAAATAAAGTTACATTTTTAAACTCTCGCTGCTTTGTTAGACATTAATGGTGTGGGGNCCACTGAGCTGCCCACGTGCCAGTAAGTAAAATTCGCGTGACAGGATCTGCTATCTGGGATTTCTGAGGCCAGATGTGATGTAAAGATAACTTGAGATGCATTAGCTTAGGACCAAGGCTTATATAGGGGATTATTTAATTATCTCACCCCCTTTCTCTCTTGGTATTACTCAGTGGCGGATCTAGGGGAGGCCCCCCCCCCCCTATTTTGGGTAAAAAAGACAAAATCACATATAAGGAAGAAAAGCCGACAGGGCAAGCAAAACAACACCGCCCGCACCCCCACCCCCCCAACCCTTAGCTCAAGGTCTGGATCCGGCACTGTTACTCAGTTGCTAATTGTAATATGTCAGGTTTTTATGTAAGGGGTCGCTATTTAGAAAGGGACACTAGCACTAGGGGGATATTGCAACTGGATTACGGACTTCTACTAAGAAATACACTCTTAATATATAAGGAAGAGGTGCCAGATCGGATCATCACGCCAAATTGTAACGCGCACAACTGTGTCCTTTTTTCACCAAGCGTAAACAGCTTGATCATCCTCCCTTTCAAATTAGCGTTGTTGCCAATGGAAATAGGTCGGACAGTTTAGCTTAAAAACTCCTCTCTCTCTCTCTCTCTCTCTCTCTCTCTCTCTCTCTCTCTCTCTCTCTCTGTCTCTCCCTCCCCCTTCCTGTTCCATACCTCCTTAAAAATTGGCTCACGGAGAGAAAGTTTCAGTAAATTCCTCCATAATGAAACATACATGCTCCCATTGTTCAAAAGTAACTCGATAGAAGCACTAATGCAAAGGTTTTAGTTAGAAAATAACAAGTGGATATTGCTGAGAATATTTAGTTCCCCAAGAATGCATACCTATTACTAACCAAGTTCGAGAGCCGTCATCGATTTATGGCCGCGGGCCACAAATCGAAGGGGGAAAAATGAGGATCCGTAACTTACAGTACGGACCGAGAAAACGAGGTTAGCAAAGATATCTATTAAATTACATTTCTACTGCAATTTCAGAAGTAAAAGAATGTTTTAAAGTTTTACTTGCAAAAATACGCGCGAAGACGTGGCCATAAAGGCAACAAAAACAACTTTAATCAATCACCAATCACAGCGCGCGTACTAACTGAGCGATATCCGGGTCGCCAGCTGAGAACGACAGGCGACCCTGGGACTCATTTGCATTGCAAATATTTTTCGCTCCTTCTTCGCCACCTTTTAACGAGGTACTTCCACTTCTTCCTTCAAACCTTTGGCTAATGTCGTGTCTACATCACAAGAAATGTTTCTGAACGTGTCCCAGACACAAACTCCAGAAACTCTTGCTGATGGAACCAACTGTAGGGAGATTCAGGCAGACACGTCCTCTGTCGCAGGAAATTGGCGGCTTTTGTCAGACGACGAAAAGAAAAGGCGAAGAAAATTGTCCTATGCGAAGAGGGATTACTTGAAAGTAAATTTATTGGGTTCTTTTCAGCGTTGGCGTGATCTGCGGAAAAAGTTAAACATGTCGAGTGACAAAGAACTTGCTGATTTTCTCATGGATCATTATGAATCGGCACAAAAACCCTCGAGGTGAGACTGACTTGCAAGATATATGTTTAATCTTTTATTTATGATTTAAACTTGGTGCTATTCATAACGGATTGGAATGAGTTTACCTTGTGTTTCCCATTAGTGACCACGATCAATCACCATATATGCATGCATCTGGATCCTTTGTGGCTCCCTTGTCAGCCACACCATCACTTGATAGGGCGGTAATTGCTCCACACGGTACGTAAATTTCCCCCATCATACCATTTTTTGTCTATAGGGAAGTGAACTGCATTTCCAGTGAAGATTTAGATACCTATTTGTTGTTCTCATTTTTTCATATATATAGTTACCTCGACGCCAACTGGGAAAGAAACCATGTATAAAGATTCCTCTTCCTCAGTCAGTTCAGGGAGGTATAAAAAAGATGTGGTTAACAAATGAAGAGGCCTAAGCCGTGTATTATACTGTGATAAAACACGACAGGCATTTGAGAACATAAGGGAAGTGTAGAAAACACGAGCCGCAGGCTCACGTTTTCTACATTTTTCAGGTGTTCTCAAATGTGCGCAGTGTTTTATCACAGTGTAATACAAGGCTTAGGCTTCTTCATTTGCTTTATGATATAGAGGTAATGTGCCGAAAAACAATAAAACAAGCTTTTTCTTTGTTTTATACTCTGATAAAACATGGGGTTTTGATTTGGTTTTGACCAATCAGAGCACATGCAGGGTTTTATCTATATCGTAAAGGATAATAATACATGGCCGCACAGAGAGACGAAGTTTCTCTTGTATATCCGAGTGGCCATGTAATGTGTTATTTATTATATAAACACCAGTGGAATCCCAAACTGTTTTGCTTTTGCTGCGAAAGATGCCATTTATTGTGTAACCGTAGCAGCAGTGATCTTTTCACATGTGAAGATGTCATGCTTTCACACGAAAGCTCACCTGGTATTTCATTGGTTTTTATATAATAAAGCAATACGTTTGACTGTTCATAGAATATGTACATAGGACTAGCCATTTTCCTGAAAACCCAAATAGTAGATAGCTGGTGCTGAAGGTCCACAATAGTGTTCTGAGATCCCGCTTTCCCACCCATTTTTACCTGTTAATCCTGTGTTATTTATTATATAAACACCAGTGGAATCCCAAACTGTTTTGCTTTTGCTGCGAAAGATGCCATTTATTGTGTAACCATAGCAACAGTGATCTTTTCACATGTGAAGATGTCATGCTTTCATGCGAAAGCTCACCTGGTATTTCATTGGTTTTTATATAATAAAGCAATACGTTTGACTGTTCATAGAATATGTACATAGGACTAGCCATTTTCCTGAAAACCCAAATAGTAGATAGCTGGTGCTGAAGGTCCACAATAGTGTTCTGAGATCCCGCTTTCCCACCCATTTTTACCTGTTAATCCTGTGTTATTTATTATATAAACACCAGTGGAATCCCAAACTGTTTTGCTTTTGCTGCGAAAGATGCCATTTATTGTGTAACCATAGCAACAGTGATCTTTTCACATGTGAAGATGTCATGCTTTCATGCGAAAGCTCACCTGGTATTTCATTGGTTTTTATATAATAAAGCAATACGTTTGACTGTTCATAGAATATGTACATAGGACTAGCCATTTTCCTGAAAACCCAAATAGTAGATAGCTGGTGCTGAAGGTCCACAATAGTGTTCTGAGATCCCGCTTTCCCACCCATTTTTACCTGTTAATCCTGTGTTATTTATTATATAAACACCAGTGGAATCCCAAACTGTTTTGCTTTTGCTGCGAAAGATGCCATTTATTGTGTAACCATAGCAACAGTGATCTTTTCACATGTGAAGATGTCATGCTTTCATGCGAAAGCTCACCTGGTATTTCATTGGTTTTTATATAATAAAGCAATACGTTTGACTGTTCATAGAATATGTACATAGGACTAGCCATTTTCCTGAAAACCCAAATAGTAGATAGCTGGTGCTGAAGGTCCACAATAGTGTTCTGAGATCCCGCTTTCCCACCCATTTTTACCTGTTAATCCTGTGTTATTTATTATATAAACACCAGTGGAATCCCAAACTGTTTTGCTTTTGCTGCGAAAGATGCCATTTATTGTGTAACCATAGCAACAGTGATCTTTTCACATGTGAAGATGTCATGCTTTCATGCGAAAGCTCACCTGGTATTTCATTGGTTTTTATATAATAAAGCAATACGTTTGACTGTTCATAGAATATGTACATAGGACTAGCCATTTTCCTGAAAACCCAAATAGTAGATAGCTGGTGCTGAAGGTCCACAATAGTGTTCTGAGATCCCGCTTTCCCACCCATTTTTACCTGTTAATCCTGTGTTATTTATTATATAAACACCAGTGGAATCCCAAACTGTTTTGCTTTTGCTGCGAAAGATGCCATTTATTGTGTAACCATAGCAACAGTGATCTTTTCACATGTGAAGATGTCATGCTTTCATGCGAAAGCTCACCTGGTATTTCATTGGTTTTTATATAATAAAGCAATACGTTTGACTGTTCATAGAATATGTACATAGGACTAGCCATTTTCCTGAAAACCCAAATAGTAGATAGCTGGTGCTGAAGGTCCACAATAGTGTTCTGAGATCCCGCTTTCCCACCCATTTTTACCTGTTAATCCTGTGTTATTTATTATATAAACACCAGTGGAATCCCAAACTGTTTTGCTTTTGCTGCGAAAGATGCCATTTATTGTGTAACCATAGCAACAGTGATCTTTTCACATGTGAAGATGTCATGCTTTCATGCGAAAGCTCACCTGGTATTTCATTGGTTTTTATATAATAAAGCAATACGTTTGACTGTTCATAGAATATGTACATAGGACTAGCCATTTTCCTGAAAACCCAAATAGTAGATAGCTGGTGCTGAAGGTCCACAATAGTGTTCTGAGATCCCGCTTTCCCACCCATTTTTACCTGTTAATCCTGTGTTATTTATTATATAAACACCAGTGGAATCCCAAACTGTTTTGCTTTTGCTGCGAAAGATGCCATTTATTGTGTAACCATAGCAACAGTGATCTTTTCACATGTGAAGATGTCATGCTTTCATGCGAAAGCTCACCTGGTATTTCATTGGTTTTTATATAATAAAGCAATACGTTTGACTGTTCATAGAATATGTACATAGGACTAGCCATTTTCCTGAAAACCCAAATAGTAGATAGCTGGTGCTGAAGGTCCACAATAGTGTTCTGAGATCCCGCTTTCCCACCCATTTTTACCTGTTAATCCTGTGTTATTTATTATATAAACACCAGTGGAATCCCAAACTGTTTTGCTTTTGCTGCGAAAGATGCCATTTATTGTGTAACCATAGCAACAGTGATCTTTTCACATGTGAAGATGTCATGCTTTCATGCGAAAGCTCACCTGGTATTTCATTGGTTTTTATATAATAAAGCAATACGTTTGACTGTTCATAGAATATGTACATAGGACTAGCCATTTTCCTGAAAACCCAAATAGTAGATAGCTGGTGCTGAAGGTCCACAATAGTGTTCTGAGATCCCGCTTTCCCACCCATTTTTACCTGTTAATCCTGTGTTATTTATTATATAAACACCAGTGGAATCCCAAACTGTTTTGCTTTTGCTGCGAAAGATGCCATTTATTGTGTAACCATAGCAACAGTGATCTTTTCACATGTGAAGATGTCATGCTTTCATGCGAAAGCTCACCTGGTATTTCATTGGTTTTTATATAATAAAGCAATACGTTTGACTGTTCATAGAATATGTACATAGGACTAGCCATTTTCCTGAAAACCCAAATAGTAGATAGCTGGTGCTGAAGGTCCACAATAGTGTTCTGAGATCCCGCTTTCCCACCCATTTTTACCTGTTAATCCTGTGTTATTTATTATATAAACACCAGTGGAATCCCAAACTGTTTTGCTTTTGCTGCGAAAGATGCCATTTATTGTGTAACCATAGCAACAGTGATCTTTTCACATGTGAAGATGTCATGCTTTCATGCGAAAGCTCACCTGGTATTTCATTGGTTTTTATATAATAAAGCAATACGTTTGACTGTTCATAGAATATGTACATAGGACTAGCCATTTTCCTGAAAACCCAAATAGTAGATAGCTGGTGCTGAAGGTCCACAATAGTGTTCTGAGATCCCGCTTTCCCACCCATTTTTACCTGTTAATCCTGTGTTATTTATTATATAAACACCAGTGGAATCCCAAACTGTTTTGCTTTTGCTGCGAAAGATGCCATTTATTGTGTAACCATAGCAACAGTGATCTTTTCACATGTGAAGATGTCATGCTTTCATGCGAAAGCTCACCTGGTATTTCATTGGTTTTTATATAATAAAGCAATACGTTTGACTGTTCATAGAATATGTACATAGGACTAGCCATTTTCCTGAAAACCCAAATAGTAGATAGCTGGTGCTGAAGGTCCACAATAGTGTTCTGAGATCCCGCTTTCCCACCCATTTTTTCCTGTTAATCCTGCCATCCCACCTTTTTTGTCTGGAAATCTGCTATATGTACATAAGGTTCATTTCTACCCTCCAGCTCGCAGTTTTTGGGCTGGTCAATTTATGAAGTCACGTATCCCACTCTGTTCCGCTTGTGAATCTTGCATCCCAACCCCACAGAAATAATCCCACTCCCGCTTCTGTTTTTGGCTCGAATCTCAAATTATCACCACGAAAAAATGCCAAATCCCGCATCCCGCCCAGCCCATATGTGGACCCTCAGAGCTCTGTTGCTAGGATGATACTGATGTGAGATGGATCCTAGTTCTAGGTAACATAGTAAAGCTACATACTGGGTATGAAGCAATTCTGAGTGATTTTTTATACTCTACATAGTGAAATTGTATTGGCTTGCTGTAGTGTCATGACTTCCATGCCATTGACGTTGCTCAATTCACTGGAATTGTACTGTTCCTTTGCCTAAACCACTAGCTGTGAAACTCATGAGTAGTTGTCGTGTCTAGATTAATTTGAATAATAGTTAACAACTATTCCATGAGTGCACGTTGGATATGAGATAGTAGATAGCCAACAAGGCCTGTAGTGCCAAGTTGGCTATAATCATCTCATATCCAACAAGCGCAAGCGGGATTGTTGTTTTACGAAAAACACTCCCAAAATATAGAGAACTAAAATAAAATAAAGGCAGAAATACACCAAAAAATTACGCGTACACTTGCAATATTTATAGAGCATGGTATAATTACTCATATAACATGATGGCTAAACCAATGAAAACACTTGAATTGCATTATCCAGTGATCCAGTTTTTAATAATAGTACACATTCAACTGTAACTTAGAGCGATTTTCAATTCAGTGTCGTAAAACCAAAACCAAACCAATTACTTACCAATTAGACTACTCAGCCGATCTCAAACCGAAGTAAAACCAAAACCACAACCAAAGTTATTGTCTAATTAATTTAGCCACTAAACCGACCGCTCTATTGCCATTTGTTGTTGATGTGTTTTTGCTTTTCCATGAAGTCTTAAATATCAATGTATATTCCAGTTAAAAGAGCATGAGAGCTTTTCGTGTTTATGAAAATTTTGTTCATTTGTTTTATATCTGTGTTATTTCTCAAAGGCAAACACCCGAAGAGGAAACCATGACTGCCAGTGAATTGGAAGACACTGAACATTGTGGCAGAATCAGCTTGTCAAGACTTGTCAAAGTTAGTCATTGCAATAATTTTTTCAAATAAATATATCTATTAAAGAGCTTAAACTGTGGGTAAGACTTTGAAGTGTTTCTCATTTCACTGTTGTTTGGTACATTGTAATTTGTGACTTTTTCGCTTTTGTTTGGGACCATAATTAGCAAATTTGAAAGCATATTGTTGTTATCGAAGTTAGTGTAATTAACAACTGTCCTGTAATTCAGGTTGCGTCTTATAACCAAGTATTAAGGACAAATTTTCAGTTTGTAAACTTGATACACTTATGTCTGAAAGTCAATGGTGCATCTTATAATTGAAAAAATACAGTATCTGTCCATTTTTAAGTGAAGCTCGTCACTTTTGTTACTTAAAATTTATCTTACTGTTTTTTTTTATTGTTATTTATTTTTAGGAATTATCAGATAGAGCCATTCAAAAGGTAATTTTGTTTGTATACATGTATAATGCAGGGAGTATATATATCCAGCTTTTGCAAAATGTAACATGAACTAACAAAATAACACACGTGATTAGGCATGGCATGGCATGCATGGCAGCTACAAGTCCTACATGTAGTATTTATCAGTTGGAATGCTTTCTGTTAAGAATTGACNTCTTTTCACATGTGAAGATGTCATGCTTTCATGCGAAAGCTCACCTGGTATTTCATTGGTTTTTATATAATAAAGCAATACGTTTGACTGTTCATAGAATATGTACATAGGACTAGCCATTTTCCTGAAAACCCAAATAGTAGATAGCTGGTGCTGAAGGTCCACAATAGTGTTCTGAGATCCCGCTTTCCCACCCATTTTTACCTGTTAATCCTGTGTTATTTATTATATAAACACCAGTGGAATCCCAAACTGTTTTGCTTTTGCTGCGAAAGATGCCATTTATTGTGTAACCATAGCAACAGTGATCTTTTCACATGTGAAGATGTCATGCTTTCATGCGAAAGCTCACCTGGTATTTCATTGGTTTTTATATAATAAAGCAATACGTTTGACTGTTCATAGAATATGTACATAGGACTAGCCATTTTCCTGAAAACCCAAATAGTAGATAGCTGGTGCTGAAGGTCCACAATAGTGTTCTGAGATCCCGCTTTCCCACCCATTTTTACCTGTTAATCCTGTGTTATTTATTATATAAACACCAGTGGAATCCCAAACTGTTTTGCTTTTGCTGCGAAAGATGCCATTTATTGTGTAACCATAGCAACAGTGATCTTTTCACATGTGAAGATGTCATGCTTTCATGCGAAAGCTCACCTGGTATTTCATTGGTTTTTATATAATAAAGCAATACGTTTGACTGTTCATAGAATATGTACATAGGACTAGCCATTTTCCTGAAAACCCAAATAGTAGATAGCTGGTGCTGAAGGTCCACAATAGTGTTCTGAGATCCCGCTTTCCCACCCATTTTTACCTGTTAATCCTGTGTTATTTATTATATAAACACCAGTGGAATCCCAAACTGTTTTGCTTTTGCTGCGAAAGATGCCATTTATTGTGTAACCATAGCAACAGTGATCTTTTCACATGTGAAGATGTCATGCTTTCATGCGAAAGCTCACCTGGTATTTCATTGGTTTTTATATAATAAAGCAATACGTTTGACTGTTCATAGAATATGTACATAGGACTAGCCATTTTCCTGAAAACCCAAATAGTAGATAGCTGGTGCTGAAGGTCCACAATAGTGTTCTGAGATCCCGCTTTCCCACCCATTTTTACCTGTTAATCCTGTGTTATTTATTATATAAACACCAGTGGAATCCCAAACTGTTTTGCTTTTGCTGCGAAAGATGCCATTTATTGTGTAACCATAGCAACAGTGATCTTTTCACATGTGAAGATGTCATGCTTTCATGCGAAAGCTCACCTGGTATTTCATTGGTTTTTATATAATAAAGCAATACGTTTGACTGTTCATAGAATATGTACATAGGACTAGCCATTTTCCTGAAAACCCAAATAGTAGATAGCTGGTGCTGAAGGTCCACAATAGTGTTCTGAGATCCCGCTTTCCCACCCATTTTTACCTGTTAATCCTGTGTTATTTATTATATAAACACCAGTGGAATCCCAAACTGTTTTGCTTTTGCTGCGAAAGATGCCATTTATTGTGTAACCATAGCAACAGTGATCTTTTCACATGTGAAGATGTCATGCTTTCATGCGAAAGCTCACCTGGTATTTCATTGGTTTTTATATAATAAAGCAATACGTTTGACTGTTCATAGAATATGTACATAGGACTAGCCATTTTCCTGAAAACCCAAATAGTAGATAGCTGGTGCTGAAGGTCCACAATAGTGTTCTGAGATCCCGCTTTCCCACCCATTTTTACCTGTTAATCCTGTGTTATTTATTATATAAACACCAGTGGAATCCCAAACTGTTTTGCTTTTGCTGCGAAAGATGCCATTTATTGTGTAACCATAGCAACAGTGATCTTTTCACATGTGAAGATGTCATGCTTTCATGCGAAAGCTCACCTGGTATTTCATTGGTTTTTATATAATAAAGCAATACGTTTGACTGTTCATAGAATATGTACATAGGACTAGCCATTTTCCTGAAAACCCAAATAGTAGATAGCTGGTGCTGAAGGTCCACAATAGTGTTCTGAGATCCCGCTTTCCCACCCATTTTTACCTGTTAATCCTGTGTTATTTATTATATAAACACCAGTGGAATCCCAAACTGTTTTGCTTTTGCTGCGAAAGATGCCATTTATTGTGTAACCATAGCAACAGTGATCTTTTCACATGTGAAGATGTCATGCTTTCATGCGAAAGCTCACCTGGTATTTCATTGGTTTTTATATAATAAAGCAATACGTTTGACTGTTCATAGAATATGTACATAGGACTAGCCATTTTCCTGAAAACCCAAATAGTAGATAGCTGGTGCTGAAGGTCCACAATAGTGTTCTGAGATCCCGCTTTCCCACCCATTTTTACCTGTTAATCCTGTGTTATTTATTATATAAACACCAGTGGAATCCCAAACTGTTTTGCTTTTGCTGCGAAAGATGCCATTTATTGTGTAACCATAGCAACAGTGATCTTTTCACATGTGAAGATGTCATGCTTTCATGCGAAAGCTCACCTGGTATTTCATTGGTTTTTATATAATAAAGCAATACGTTTGACTGTTCATAGAATATGTACATAGGACTAGCCATTTTCCTGAAAACCCAAATAGTAGATAGCTGGTGCTGAAGGTCCACAATAGTGTTCTGAGATCCCGCTTTCCCACCCATTTTTACCTGTTAATCCTGTGTTATTTATTATATAAACACCAGTGGAATCCCAAACTGTTTTGCTTTTGCTGCGAAAGATGCCATTTATTGTGTAACCATAGCAACAGTGATCTTTTCACATGTGAAGATGTCATGCTTTCATGCGAAAGCTCACCTGGTATTTCATTGGTTTTTATATAATAAAGCAATACGTTTGACTGTTCATAGAATATGTACATAGGACTAGCCATTTTCCTGAAAACCCAAATAGTAGATAGCTGGTGCTGAAGGTCCACAATAGTGTTCTGAGATCCCGCTTTCCCACCCATTTTTACCTGTTAATCCTGTGTTATTTATTATATAAACACCAGTGGAATCCCAAACTGTTTTGCTTTTGCTGCGAAAGATGCCATTTATTGTGTAACCATAGCAACAGTGATCTTTTCACATGTGAAGATGTCATGCTTTCATGCGAAAGCTCACCTGGTATTTCATTGGTTTTTATATAATAAAGCAATACGTTTGACTGTTCATAGAATATGTACATAGGACTAGCCATTTTCCTGAAAACCCAAATAGTAGATAGCTGGTGCTGAAGGTCCACAATAGTGTTCTGAGATCCCGCTTTCCCACCCATTTTTACCTGTTAATCCTGTGTTATTTATTATATAAACACCAGTGGAATCCCAAACTGTTTTGCTTTTGCTGCGAAAGATGCCATTTATTGTGTAACCATAGCAACAGTGATCTTTTCACATGTGAAGATGTCATGCTTTCATGCGAAAGCTCACCTGGTATTTCATTGGTTTTTATATAATAAAGCAATACGTTTGACTGTTCATAGAATATGTACATAGGACTAGCCATTTTCCTGAAAACCCAAATAGTAGATAGCTGGTGCTGAAGGTCCACAATAGTGTTCTGAGATCCCGCTTTCCCACCCATTTTTACCTGTTAATCCTGTGTTATTTATTATATAAACACCAGTGGAATCCCAAACTGTTTTGCTTTTGCTGCGAAAGATGCCATTTATTGTGTAACCATAGCAACAGTGATCTTTTCACATGTGAAGATGTCATGCTTTCATGCGAAAGCTCACCTGGTATTTCATTGGTTTTTATATAATAAAGCAATACGTTTGACTGTTCATAGAATATGTACATAGGACTAGCCATTTTCCTGAAAACCCAAATAGTAGATAGCTGGTGCTGAAGGTCCACAATAGTGTTCTGAGATCCCGCTTTCCCACCCATTTTTACCTGTTAATCCTGTGTTATTTATTATATAAACACCAGTGGAATCCCAAACTGTTTTGCTTTTGCTGCGAAAGATGCCATTTATTGTGTAACCATAGCAACAGTGATCTTTTCACATGTGAAGATGTCATGCTTTCATGCGAAAGCTCACCTGGTATTTCATTGGTTTTTATATAATAAAGCAATACGTTTGACTGTTCATAGAATATGTACATAGGACTAGCCATTTTCCTGAAAACCCAAATAGTAGATAGCTGGTGCTGAAGGTCCACAATAGTGTTCTGAGATCCCGCTTTCCCACCCATTTTTACCTGTTAATCCTGTGTTATTTATTATATAAACACCAGTGGAATCCCAAACTGTTTTGCTTTTGCTGCGAAAGATGCCATTTATTGTGTAACCATAGCAACAGTGATCTTTTCACATGTGAAGATGTCATGCTTTCATGCGAAAGCTCACCTGGTATTTCATTGGTTTTTATATAATAAAGCAATACGTTTGACTGTTCATAGAATATGTACATAGGACTAGCCATTTTCCTGAAAACCCAAATAGTAGATAGCTGGTGCTGAAGGTCCACAATAGTGTTCTGAGATCCCGCTTTCCCACCCATTTTTTCCTGTTAATCCTGCCATCCCACCTTTTTTGTCTGGAAATCTGCTATATGTACATAAGGTTCATTTCTACCCTCCAGCTCGCAGTTTTTGGGCTGGTCAATTTATGAAGTCACGTATCCCACTCTGTTCCGCTTGTGAATCTTGCATCCCAACCCCACAGAAATAATCCCACTCCCGCTTCTGTTTTTGGCTCGAATCTCAAATTATCACCACGAAAAAATGCCAAATCCCGCATCCCGCCCAGCCCATATGTGGACCCTCAGAGCTCTGTTGCTAGGATGATACTGATGTGAGATGGATCCTAGTTCTAGGTAACATAGTAAAGCTACATACTGGGTATGAAGCAATTCTGAGTGATTTTTTATACTCTACATAGTGAAATTGTATTGGCTTGCTGTAGTGTCATGACTTCCATGCCATTGACGTTGCTCAATTCACTGGAATTGTACTGTTCCTTTGCCTAAACCACTAGCTGTGAAACTCATGAGTAGTTGTCGTGTCTAGATTAATTTGAATAATAGTTAACAACTATTCCATGAGTGCACGTTGGATATGAGATAGTAGATAGCCAACAAGGCCTGTAGTGCCAAGTTGGCTATAATCATCTCATATCCAACAAGCGCAAGCGGGATTGTTGTTTTACGAAAAACACTCCCAAAATATAGAGAACTAAAATAAAATAAAGGCAGAAATACACCAAAAAATTACGCGTACACTTGCAATATTTATAGAGCATGGTATAATTACTCATATAACATGATGGCTAAACCAATGAAAACACTTGAATTGCATTATCCAGTGATCCAGTTTTTAATAATAGTACACATTCAACTGTAACTTAGAGCGATTTTCAATTCAGTGTCGTAAAACCAAAACCAAACCAATTACTTACCAATTAGACTACTCAGCCGATCTCAAACCGAAGTAAAACCAAAACCACAACCAAAGTTATTGTCTAATTAATTTAGCCACTAAACCGACCGCTCTATTGCCATTTGTTGTTGATGTGTTTTTGCTTTTCCATGAAGTCTTAAATATCAATGTATATTCCAGTTAAAAGAGCATGAGAGCTTTTCGTGTTTATGAAAATTTTGTTCATTTGTTTTATATCTGTGTTATTTCTCAAAGGCAAACACCCGAAGAGGAAACCATGACTGCCAGTGAATTGGAAGACACTGAACATTGTGGCAGAATCAGCTTGTCAAGACTTGTCAAAGTTAGTCATTGCAATAATTTTTTCAAATAAATATATCTATTAAAGAGCTTAAACTGTGGGTAAGACTTTGAAGTGTTTCTCATTTCACTGTTGTTTGGTACATTGTAATTTGTGACTTTTTCGCTTTTGTTTGGGACCATAATTAGCAAATTTGAAAGCATATTGTTGTTATCGAAGTTAGTGTAATTAACAACTGTCCTGTAATTCAGGTTGCGTCTTATAACCAAGTATTAAGGACAAATTTTCAGTTTGTAAACTTGATACACTTATGTCTGAAAGTCAATGGTGCATCTTATAATTGAAAAAATACAGTATCTGTCCATTTTTAAGTGAAGCTCGTCACTTTTGTTACTTAAAATTTATCTTACTGTTTTTTTTTATTGTTATTTATTTTTAGGAATTATCAGATAGAGCCATTCAAAAGGTAATTTTGTTTGTATACATGTATAATGCAGGGAGTATATATATCCAGCTTTTGCAAAATGTAACATGAACTAACAAAATAACACACGTGATTAGGCATGGCATGGCATGCATGGCAGCTACAAGTCCTACATGTAGTATTTATCAGTTGGAATGCTTTCTGTTAAGAATTGACGCAGGGGATAACATGGTTGTTGAATATGACATCATTATCTTAGTGTAGAAATGTTCAAACTCCTGTATTACGAGTGCTAAACTTATCTTGATGTAAGCTTGAATGTCTTCCTTCAGACTTAGCATGCTGGATAATCTAGTGTTCTTTCACGTGGGGTGTTAAACCACTGTATTTAGTCTGGACAAGTCAATGATGCCATGAATCGGCAAAAGCTTGGAAAATTGACCTGACTAAATAAAGTAGTTTAAGGCCTCATATAAAAGGACATTAGATTATCTCAAGTGATGTGTTGACAAGGTTGAATAATGAGCTTATTTACCTGGAGAATGCATTGATTTATGAATTGCTGGAAAAATGTTAATACTTGAGAAAGCTGCTGTTGACAACGGATCACTTAAAATTATTAGTAACACCTCATTTTTAATGCTATTTTCAATGTAGCATGCAATTAGTTCTACTCAAAAGTAAACAACAAATGATAGGTCTTTCAGTGAAATATTTTCATTTATTATCAGGCTAACAAGAATCAAATAACAGCATTGGACAGCTAAGATCATTGGGAGAGTCACATACAGTTAGATCAGGTCAGTCTGTCTTTCTGGTATCTGCACTGGTGTTCACAAGTGTACCTACACTATTACTGTATATATTACTACTCTTAGTCTTATTATAGTTATGGCTTTGATGAACCACATGATGGTTTTGAAGTTCATTATTTATAATGAAGAAAATACATGTTTCGGATGAGACATCATCCGTCATCAGTTGTGCAGTGAGAAATATGTACTGACCAACAATAAGAAATTGTAAGTTACTCAGCAAAATATTTGTATCTCTCATCAGGGCAAACAGGAAACACATGAACACCAAAAGATATGTGGAGAAAGTGAAATACATCAAGCACTGCCGGTCAGTCAAAGTTTTTCTTTATCTCTAGTCAGTGTACTAGTGTATCACTATAATTTTAATCGCTCTGAAGAACAGATACAGAGTACCATTATAAGATGGAATTCAATCTTGAGAAATTTGTTTGAATGACACTTGTTGGTGTCAAGATCATTTTGGGAACATCCATGCTGTTTATTGATTAGACAAAAAGTTTGAATTTTTTTTGCAAGGATTTGTTAACTAAAAGTGGTGCTTCCTCATCTTAAGACAAGCAATGATTAATGTGTAGATCTAGTCCATTTTTAAAAATTTCAAGATTCTCCTGAGGTTCAAAAATGTTTTTTAACCTTCATAAACTGATAGGTCTTAAAGTGCCCAGGCTCAAAATAAATTTGAATTCTCCCCAATTATTGTATATATTTTGGGGGTGTGAGGTTTGAAAATTTACTTGCAGTATATAATATTTCCTAGTTGATGATTTTCCTTATTCTCATCATTGTCTGTTTGTTAAATTATTGAAATAATTTGTAACGAAAAAATTGTCAACTGACAGATGGCTCCAAATGTTTACTGACAAATCATGCTTTGATCTCAAAATCCTCATTGACAACTGACAATTTATCTGGCAATACATGTTTCCATGGCAGCATCTGCTCTGACCACAGACAGATGATAATTTCCAAATTTTAACAGACAAATCATATTTTGATCTCAACATCCTTACACAACTAACAGATGATTCAAATTTTAACATTTAACTGACAAATCATGTTTTTATCTCAACATCCATACTGACAACTGACAGATAATTTCAAATTTTATCTGACAAAATCATGCTTTGATCTCAACCTCCATTCTGGCATGTGACAGATGACTCGAAATTTCAATGGACAAAATCATATTTGATTTCAAAATTTTCACCGAGAAATTGTGTTTTGATCTGAACATCCTTATTGACAAATCATGATCTGAGTTGGGCATCTTTACTCACAACTGATAGATGATTCCAAATTTGAACTAACCAGTTATGTTGTGATCACTTCCTTATTCAAAACTGACAGATGTTTCCTACTTTTAACTGACAAAACATGTTTTCTTCTCAGCATCCTTACTTACAACTGACAGATAATTCCAAAATTTACATGTAACTGACAAGTCATGTTTGTATCTCAAATGTTAACTGGCAAACATTGTTTTGATTCCAACATCCTTACTGACAACTTACAGATTAGTCAAAGTTTTAAGGTGATTCCTCAGAATTACATTGCGCATCTCTACTGTGCATGATTCTTGCATCATTAGCGCATGCTCACAATTGCATGCACATACACAGCATCAAGAGATTTCCTTCATGCTATAAAGCTCAACGGCAAAATAAATGCTTGTTTTCTCTCAGATTTGCATGGTGACCTATATTTTTTGATACATAATTTTGTTGTAAAGAATTGTTCGGAAGGAAAAAAGAGAAGCTAAAAGCTGGTCCAAAACCATTACTCGAGGACGCAAATCATGAACCTATTTCGTTTCAAATGATTTGTGTGATATTACAGGAAACTATATATTACATTGTTGTATGGGCTTAAGACTTTCTACATATCAAGGTGTTTTCCTTTTGAAAACTTTGCTTCCAGCTTTTGCAAACTGTAATGTGATTACCAACAAAATAACACACATGGTTAGGCATAAATGGGGTAAGATTGGCCAATCTTTTGCGAGCATGTATAAATATATTTACTCGTACATTTACAGTTTTTATATCAGTGAAATGTAAAGACAAGGGAAAAAGTGTACTATATGAGTCTGGAGACTGAAATGGGTGTGAGGTGGTAGCATGGTGACCTATCTTTTTTGTTCTGTTTTGTTAAAACATTGCTTGGTAGGGAACATACGGGGAAAGTTTCAAAAAAATCGTTTGATGACTATTATTTCTGAGGAGTCACCTTAACTTGTACAGTTCATGCTTTCATCTCGCCACGTGTTTTGGAGATGTTGCGATGATCCTCAAAATTTCCTGCAATCAATTAAAACCCTTGTTAAATGTTTAAGACAACAACACACCATCAGTTCAATTCAAACAAATCCCAATCCACTTGATTTGGCACACGCCAACATTAAACATTAAATGCGTGACATTAAATTTAAACNTTATTCAAAACTGACAGATGTTTCCTACTTTTAACTGACAAAACAGGTTTTCTTCTCAGCATCCTTACTTACAACTGACAGATAATTCCAAAATTTACATGTAACTGACAAGTCATGTTTTTATCTCAAATTTCAACTGGCAAACATTGTTTTGATTCCAACATCCTTACTGACAACTGACAGATTAGTCAAAGTTTAAAGGTGATTCCTCCGAATTGCATCCCGCATCTCTACTGTGCATGATTCTTGCATCATTAGCGCATGCTCACAATTGCATGCACAGACACATACGTTGTACATACACAACATCAAGAGATTTCCTTCATGCTGTAAAGCTCGACAGCAAAATAAACGCTCGTTTTCTCTCAGATTTGCATGGTGACCAATATTTTTTGATACCTAATTTTGTTGTAAAAAATATGTTTGGAAGGAAAAAAAGATAAGGTAAAAGCCAGTCCAAAACCATTACTTGAGGGCACAAATCATGAACCCATTTCATTTAAAATGATTTGTGTGATATTACAGGAAACTATATATAACATTGTTGTATGTGCCTAAGACTTTCTACATATCAAGGTGTTTTCCTTTTGAAAACTTTGCTTCCAGCTTTTGCAAACTGTGATGTGATTACCAACAAAATTTTAACACACATGATTAGGCATAAATGGGGTAAGATTGGCTGATCTTTTGCGAGCATGTATAAATATATTTACTTGTGCATTTACAGTTTTTTATACCAGTGAAATGTAAAGACAAAGAAAAAAGTGTACTATATGAGTCTGGAGACTGAAGTGGGTGTGAGGTGGTAGCATGGTGACCTATCTTTTTTATTCTGTTTTGTTGAAACATTGCTTGGTAGGGAACATTCAGGGAAAGTTTCAAAAAAATTGTTTGACAACTATTATTTCTGAGGAGTCACCTTAACTTGTACAGTTCATGCTTTCATCTCACCATGTGTTTTGGAGATGTCGCGATGATCCTCAAAATTTCCTGCAATCAGTTAAAACCCTTGTTAAATGTTTAAGACAACAACACACCATCAGTTCGATTCAAACAAATCCCAATCCACTTGATTTGGCACACCCCAGCACTAAACATTAAATTTGTGACATTAAATTTAAATGTTTTAATTAACGAATAGTCGCACGTGCCTGAAATTGAACCAATCAAAACAAAATCTATGGGGTCTCTAAAAACTTTAGTTCATAAAAGGTCACAACACCATGTTTTCCGACAACTTATAGCTGTCTCCAAATAATTTTTTTTGAGAAATCATGTTTTAATGTCAGCAGCCTTATGAACAGTTATTGACTGACTCCAGATTTTACCAACCAATGATGGTATCATGCTATCAAACTGGTTGGCAAACTGTAATTCCACGAGACAATTAGTACTAGATAATTACTGATTTTCTTTTTCAAATTAGAGCTGAAATTTGTTGGAATATCTTCAAATATTTGGGACTTATTGTAGAATTCTTTGAAATGTTCTTGTCATCACCTGATAGTTTGTTTTACTAGGCTGAAAGTGCAAAAGTAATTGAGAGACTGCATGTATTGTA